CATTAAGTATTTATTTTGCCCCTACAAGATGTGTGATATCTGATATGTGAAGATATCTTTTACAAATATTAATTATGAATGTGTGTATAGTTATTTTTCACCTAATTCATTTCAAATACTTGCAGCCAAACACTGGATAGATCATCCCAACTGACATCAATACTATCCTGTTAGCATCGCATTACACTTGCTAGTTTCATTACTAGCTGTAATGAAGCCGACATAATTAGAATATGCCCACCAAATAACTTCAGTAGAAAGCACATAACAGCTAATGTCCATCATAGTTTCGTGTTTCTCCCAGCCCTGTATAACCTGGAAATGTTTAAGGTTTGTGTTCCTTAGGAAGAGTTAAAACTTGAAACCTCTTTTCCCCAGAATTTTTAGCAGTAGAGAAATTCTGTGGCTCATAGTGGAAGCCAGAAATACGCTCCCACCTTCCACTTTAGTGCCAGTGAGCTCTCCTACTATGCGGCAAAAGTGCTTCGCCTATCCCTGTGAGAATGAGTTGTCTACTTCCTCCTCCCCTGGTCAAAGCATATATGTTAAGGGTGAGAGTGTCTGTGTGTTTAGGGTAGACCTTTTTTTAAATGAAATACTAACAGGTGGGGTTCTTAAATATATTCTTCTACAAGAGATTTCTTTGCCTTTTATATTTTGATGATTGTTTTCTTATATGAAGATGTAAGTAGGCTTTTGCTCTTCTGAGAATATTTAAATCATGCTTCTCTGATTTTTTTCACCATCATATTTACTAAGATAATCTGATTGACATAGAATTTAGTACTTTAAGGCATTCTTTTTCTCACAAAGTATATTTAATAAAATGCTGTGTATGTAGAATGTGTATTTGTGTATTCATTTTCTTTAAAGAAATCTATAGAGCCTTCAATATTGGTCTGTAATAAACTTATTTACCACAAAAGAATACAACACCTAAATGAAGTAATACAAAAACTTTATTTCTTTGGAGTCAGGTTTCTTCTTCTTTCATTTAAGGAATAATTTAAGGGCTGGAGAGATAGCTCAATAGTTACGAGCACCGGCTGCTCTTCCAGAAGGCCCCGGTTCAATTCCCAGCACCTGCATGGCAGTTCCCAACTGTCTGTAACTCCAGTTCCAGGGGATCCGGCATCTTTACACAGACAGACATGCAGGCAAACCACCAATGCACATAAAATAAAAACAAATTTTTTAAGAAAGAAAAATTAAAATTCTAAAATTGTACTGTTTTTATCACTGTGTGTGTGGATGGTGTGTGTCAATGGGCAGGCAGGCATTATACGTGTGGAGGCCAGAAGACAGATTTGCGGAGTCTGTTTTCCCTTACACCTTTATGGGAATAAACTCAGGTTTTCACCAGGAGGTGGTGGTGCACACCTTTAATCCCAGCACTTGAGAGGCGGAGGCAGGCGACTCCAGAGGCCAACCTGGTCTAAGGAGCAAGTTCCAGGACAACCAGGGCAACACTGAGAAACCCAGTCTTGAACAATCATCAAAAACAAAAACTAAGGTCTTCAAGTTTACACAAACCGCACTTTTATTCGTTGAGCCGTCTCACTGGCCCTCATATGAGAAATTTTATTAGCGACTACCTACGTGACTATTACACATTTAGTTTGTGATGAAATCATTTGGATAAGTAAAATTCACTAGCACAAATTTGTTGTCTCCAGTGTTTAAATACTACATGAGATTCTTGGGATTCAGCTAAGAAAAAAAAAAAAAAAAAGGACAGTCTTTTGACCTAAATTCTAGTGGCGACAGTCAGTCAACAAAGAAATAGCAGTAAGTAAAGCAAGAAAGGAGTAGTGATAATGGACGGAAGAAGCAGGAGGATGTGCTACAGTCTGACTTGGGAGCTGAGGGGAGATTATTTGGGTACTTAGGCGAGGGGGTTTTGTTTTGGGCTGTGCACAGCAGGGAAACAAATTCAGATAGAGTCTTGTAGGCCCCGTGAGAAAGAAACAGACAAAAGTGACCCTGGATCAGTACAGGGAGGAGGATGTTGAAAAATATGTGTAGGATCTACCTTGTGATCTAATTTCCCTTTTCTTGAGTTGTGATTGCCTTTTTTTTTATATACCTGTGACTTGAGGGAGTGGCTTGAAGTAATGTTACTTCTGAGTTTTGCATTCCATTGTTCATCATAACTCCACTCCTGGGCTGTAGCATGAATTCTAATTGGACTTAATAAATAAAACCTGAGTCAGATATTAGGGGATGAAAGCTGAGAGATCACAGAATCAGTGCAGTCAGCCACTAGAGAGACCTTTTACAAAAACTACCAATGCTCAGACGGTGGGATGATCGTGTCCTCAGACTGCATTAAGCTCCTGTCTCCTCCCTCCTCCTGCCTTGTATTCCTCTCTCTGACCAGCTGCTCCTGTCTCCACCTCCCAAGTGCTGGGATCACCTTTGTGGGAACTCTGTTTCTCTTCTAGACAGATTCAATCTCACGTAAGCCAGGGTGGTCTTGAACCAACAGAGATCCCAGTGTCTCTGTCTTCCTGAGTCCTGGGCTTAAAGGTATGCACCACTACTCCCTGGCGTCTAGTGGTTTAGCTCTGCACTCTGATCTTCAGGCGAGCTTTATTTGTTAAAACACAAACAAAACATCACTACACTGGTCTTCATATCATATATGCAAAATATGTAAGTGATGTTTGAATGATCTAGTTTGTGCTGGTCAAGCAGTTTACTAGAGAAGAAGAAAAAATAAGATAGTCTGTAACAAAGACCATCCAAAAACCTGAAGTGTAACACCAGATTGCCCGAGGTAGACTCTCTAATGCTTTAGAAGTTCTCCTAAGATTACTACCAAAGTGGGATGGAATTCTTTCAAATCTTAGAAATTAATCCAGGCCCTATGGCAGTTCTTTGGACAAAGAATCTGTGTATAGGGCTGTGAACCATTTGAATTCTTTAACTTCAAACAGTGAAACTTTGGATAGGCCAGGGTCAGAGTTCTGCTGACTGAACATTTGCGGATCGATAAGATGATGCATTTTCATGTTTCCACTGGACTCACCATGAGTCACTTGGAAATTTCACCAAATACAAAAACTTGGAACTGTATTACAGAATAATAGGGAGATTATCTAGAAACCAAAAACAGAATGACTCTAGAGGCTATTTTAAAGTAAACATATAGAAAAATGCTTGAAAAGGTGTCTTTGGAATCTACTAAGGCCTTTTAGTAGATTTTAGATCTTCTAAAGAGAATGTTGATTTTAAAAATTGATGGAGGAGGGTTATCTGTCTATTGTATTATTTTCATTGGTCAATAAAGAGACTGCCTTGGCCCCTTGATAGGACAGAAAATTAGGTAGGCGGAGAAAACAGAACAGAATGCTGGGAAGAGGGCTATGAGGCAGATGCCATGGAACCAGCCGCCAGGTCAGACATGCTGAATCTCTCCCGGTAAGCCACGACCTCGTGATGCAATACAGATTATTAGAAATGGGTTAATCAAGATGTGAGAGTTAGCCAGTAACTAACTCTCTAGAGATAATGGGCCAGGCAGTGCTTAAATGAATACAATTTGTGTGTTGTTATTTCTGGGACTAAGCTAGCCGTGCGGGAGCCGGGTGAGGCGAAAAGCAGGCCTGCCCGCAGCTCCTCACTACAGATGGCGCCCAATGTGGGGCACGAACCCACGACCCTGAGATTAAGAGTCTCATGCTCTACCGACTGAGCTAGCCCACAGCCCCTCACTACAAAAAATTAGGAAATTAAAATATTGGTTGAGAAAGAAATGGGACAAAGCAGCCTGAGTGGGAGAGGAAGTATTCCTCTCAAATTTAAGATATTCCTATGTAAATTTATTCCATGTCTTAAAAAATTTAAACCTTAAACACAGAGTTCAGATTTCCTCCCAGAGTAGACTGTAGGAAGCAATAGGAATTATTGAAAATATGTAATTTCAAGTCACACTTGCTGAGTGTCAATCAGCCTCTGCCTAGATAACAAATCTGAACATTAGATGTGATAAATGTAACTAATCCACTGAAAGGACTGTGTGGAGCGTTAAGTCCTAAACTGTGTATACGCAATGGGTATAGGTCACCTTTGAATTACATGTGAATGTGTATATATAATGACTTTAGACATATCAGGAATATTAGACCATATTAAAATCACAAGAAAAATTATAAACGGCCTTTAGGAACAAGGGTAATGTAAACACAAACTCCAAAATCAGGTTGCTTGGCCAGGCTCTAGGACAATTCCTCAAAAGCTCAATGGCACACTGCGGTGTATTTACTTTCTGTGCAGCAGCAGCCGCTAATCTGCAACTGCGACCAGGTGGCTCCCAAGCGCCTCCACGGGTTCCTATAGGTGCTGCAGGGGCGCTAGGCGACTGACGAGGGAGGGGCGCGTCAGGCCTGGAGCCCCGCCCATCAGTCCCGCCCCGGCAGACCCCGCCCCCTCGAGGCGGGCTTCGCCGCCAGCCCCGCCCCGGTGTCGTCGCCTCCGCGGGGCTGAGGATGACGTGAGGAGGAGAGAGCGGCCAGCCTCTGCCTCCCGCGGGTGCAGTCGGGCCAGCGGTCACCACAGCCCCGGAGCCTGACGTGCCGCGAAGCTCAGCGC